CTTTATCATTGTTGGACCCCGTACATTTCACAGTATCAATATCAAGTGTCTGTCTGCCAAAAGTCAATGAACCCTAATGTTGCTTGTTTATGACAGATTTCGAGGCATGAATCGCATGACACCGTGGAGAACGAATCAACTTTTTCCCCTCACAAACCTGTTGTTATGGATCTGCCGACAAGTTTAAAATATACTTAATAATACCTGATATACCAGCGTGGCGTTGATGTCCATAGTAACAATATTATTATGCTTGAATATTGAATATTGCCAGTGCATTTAAAAAAGTTCTTTGAATATAATCAATAGCCAATAGCTTCTATTTGTTTGTAATGTCAAATAATACCCACTATGCATCGACGTGGTCTTACCAAAATTATTCCGTAGATTTCGTTTTGAGTAACTTTGAAAGCAGCATTAGTGACAAAGATTTTAAGTGATAACTGTCTGTCATTGTTTTGGGAGACATGTAATGAGAAAAGATGAGAGCCATGTCACAAATAGGATGATGAACTTGAATGTGAACAAATCTACAAAGAGAGGAAGACTGAAGAAAAGATGGATGGAAGAGAGAAAAGAATTGGCTTTTGAGACTTGACTCTGATCTCTGATCTCAACATGACAATTCATTTGCACACTCCATTGGGTAAGAATATAGGATACTCTTTCTCGCTGCATCACCATTTATTACCATATTCTAAAAATAAAGACGTCCCATCCGCTGCCTGGACCGTGTGGATTTTTTTTTTCTAGCAAACTTTTCTTAAGGTTGAAACATCTAGCAGTTAAATGCTTAAAAATAAATAAAAACATAACAATAAAGAGGATTTCATTTGATTATTTTGATTTGCTCGCAAAGCATTTTATTTTCATTATAGATCCTGATTTCTTTGGATCTATGGAGATTTTTTCTCTCATCAGATCTATTGGCTAGATCCATGCTGGACAACTGAAACATCTCAAACTTTGTTCCCGCTTGTGATAGAAAATTTTGTGTGAAAAAGAATACATTTTGTTTCACCATTTTTCTTTATCTTATTTAAAACTAGAGGTCGCCCGCGACTTCGTCTGCGTTAACTAAGTTTCTTGAAAATCCCTCTGGAACCTAACATTTTTTTCGGGATAAAAGTAGCCTATGTGTTAATCTAGGGTGTCAGCTAACTCCATACCAAATTTTATTAAAATCGCTCCAGCTGTTTAGACGTGAAGAAGTAACAAACATACACACTCACATACTCACACACTCACAAACTTTCGCCTTTATAATATTAGTGTGATTATAAGTTTTAATGTATTATCATTGAGGAATTTTACGCTTATGGTTTGATTTAACTTAAATGTTCTTATTTTCGTCGCCGACGGCAACAAGGCAGTCGACAAACTTTTTGATAATATATGGATTAGCCTCCGAAGTTGAGAGGATCGCGCCAGTGCTGCCTCGGTTTTCATTCAGCTTTGACGTTATCAACAATAAGCATTTGTGTAATGGAAACTTGAAACAATGAATTTGTACAACCACTCGAAAATGAATAATCTATATATATAAAACTCAAAGGTGACTGACTGACATAGTGATCTATCAACGCACAGCCCAAACCACTGGACGGATCAGGCTGAAATTTGGCATGCAGGTAGATGTTATGACGTAGGCATCCGCTAAGAAAGGATTTTGATCAATTCTACCCCCAAGGGGATAAAATAGGGAATGAAACTTTGTCAATTTTAAACCGATCGGGCTGAGACTTTGCATGCAGGTATAAGAAGATCATAGATGAATGTCATTGTGTATAATACAAGTCTGAGAACAAAAACTGTAGTCTACACTTCAGCTCTCACCGAAGCGAAGCGAGGGCGGGCCGCTAGTTATATAAATATTTCCAACACTCACACCAATTAGCCTAGTCCCAAGTAAGCACTGTAAGGCTTGTATTATGCGATACTAGGGTAACGGATAAAATGCATATACTGTACATATTTAAGTATATTTATATTGAAATACATATTAAACATCCATGACTGGAGTACAAATGCATCACATCTGCCCTCATCGGGATTTGAACCTGTGACCTCTCGAGTTGGCAACACCATGAAACCCGGCGTACAAACCACTTGGCCACGGAGGTCGTCAATAGAAAAACTTTCGGGGAATCGAACTCGAGACGTTTAGGGCAATGACCTCGTGTGTCTGTCACATAATAAATGGCTTCGTGCTCGCTTTAATTCAGCATAGACAATAGTTTTTGGTCTCGGGCTTGTATTGTAAGTAGGGTTGCCAACCCTGCTATATAAATATAGTATTCTACTATATTAAAGGTTCAAATAATATATTTCGAAAAAAAAATAGTAAGCGTAACTACTATATTTTGCTTAAAGCAGACTTTTGGAAGTAAAAGTTAAAAATAAAAACTGAATTATTAAGGTATAGGGCTGCAAAAATATACTCATTTTAAATATAAAGTAATAGGGTATTTGACAGTATTAAAAATAAAGTGCCAATTGTTAGCATCTGTGTTTAGAATGAATATTGGCAGGGGTTTTTACTATTTTTACAAAAAAATATTCATAATTTTACTAAAAACCCACGAAAAAGATAATAGTTTTCTTATCTATTGCCACGTGACCCAAAACGCCATTGGGATTGGCGGAACCTAAAATGACGTCACACGCAAGTAAACTTCCGGTTAAAGTGACATAACATTGTATCGTTTGACGTTTTAATAACAATCGTGTGACGTCACACACTAGTAAGACGCCATATTGTCCAGAAAAACATTTTCGCGGCAACTTGAAAATGGAGCTTTTGATTTGGCTATTTTTACTGAAATACACAACGGAATGATGAATATCCACTTTAGTTTTAGTAGACTCCAATAACGTGAGATCGTTTTATAAAACTTGTCAAATACCCAATTATTTTAACTACATACTATATTTTTTTGCCATCTACTATATGTTTAGAGGTAACAGCTTCCAAAATACTATATTAGATAGAAAACAAGTTGGTAACCCTAATTGTAAGCATAAAACTTTTGTGAAAATTATCGAACAAAGATGTTAAAAACCGCTTCATAATCCGTAGCGATGCTTAGAAGTAAGCGGATAAATACTTAGGTACATTAGACACACGGGAAGACGATTTTATTTATTCTATACTAGCTGACCCAGCGAACTTCGTACCGCCATAAAAATAGGGGCAGGTGGTAGCAGAGAAAATTTAGAGTTGTATGTATTTTTTAATACCACATTAAAAAAAAATTGTACAAAAATTTTTTTTTTCATGTGTAACTTAGTGTGCTATCAATTTCCTGGGATAACATTCCTCCTAACCCACATGAGAACACTACGTTGCAGTACCCAATAGTTTGAATTTTGAGGCGATGGCGCATTGTAGGTTTCAGAACACTACGTTACAGGTGGACAACCATTATCACTTAAGGATATGAAAAATACATAGTAGCCGATTCTCAGACCCACGGAATATGCATATAAAATTTCATAAAAAATCGGTAAAGCCGTTTCGGAGGAGTATGGTAACTAACATTGTGACACGAGAATTTTATATATAAGATATAGATCATACTTAATAATGTAAATGTGAAAGTTTGTATGTTTGTTACTCAAGCACGTAAAAACTAATGAACAGATTTGGATGAAATTTAGTTAGCATATAGTTGAAGACCAGGATTGAGACAGGATACTATTTTATGTACTTTACTCACGGGCGGCCGCTAGTTTGTCGTATTTTTTCATACCACGAGAATGGCAACCCTTTTGAGCTCTGGAAACCTAACTTATGGCAATATTTAAGGAGATTAGAGTAGGCAACATGCGCACGATACTCCGATATAGTGAATCCCGATCAAGTGTACCTTCGGGCGAACCAGTAGACATTTGCCAATGATTTTACTTACAATCTGTTAAAGTTGCAGGATACGACTGTTTGTCAGACATAAAAACCTGTCAATATATGTACTTACCTAGTAACAAAATATTTATAATAATATTAATAATATTCTTTATTGTATAACACCACAAAGGACATAACAGTAACATTACACTGACAGAGAGACATTACACCATGGGCGGCCTTATTGCTTAATAGCAATCTCTTCCAGGCAACCCATGACGGAAAATTAAATAAGTATATAAGAACAAAAAAGGGGGAAGGGTATAAGAGCAATATTATAAAATCAAATAAAAATGGTAATAATAATATAGATGCATATTTATATGAAAAAAAATAAACAAATAAATAAAGGTACTTTCAAAGTAAAGATAGGAAATGACGCTTAACTTGCTCACGGAACGAGTCCAGAGTGCAAGCCCTTCTAATGAATTCCAGTAATAAATTCCACAAGCGATTAGCAACAACATATTTATTTATTGCAAAACTTCTTATTTAAATACTAGCTGTGCCCCGCGATAAATTAAGGAAAATATATTTTCATGGATTTTCCCATGGGAATAAGATATTTTCCCGCAGTAAAACGTAGCCTATGTGTTAATCCAGGGTGTCAGCTAACTCCGTACAAAATTTTATTAAAATCGCTCTAGCCATTTAGACGCGAAAAAGTAACAAACGTACACTCACACACTCACAAACTTTCGCCTTTATAATATTCGTGTGATTAACAAATTTTATAATGATACGCTATATACATATCAGTACCCTAGCACGAACCATTATCGAATTCGAATAGTTTGCAAACCGAAATGTCAATGTCAAATTTTATATGGAAACTTGAACAGCAGCGGCACAAAGTACGTAACGAGAACTAAAAATCAGTACACATTTGACAATGACATTTCGGCCTCGCAAACGATACGAATTCGATATTGGTTCGTGCTAGGGGTACTGAGCGTAATGTTCACGCAAGGTCAGTACTTTTTCCCTATTCTAAAATTGCCCAAAACTCCTGCAGAAATTTTCACCAATAATAATCAATTGGGGAAATGTCGGCCGCTCTCGTTATGTACTACTACAGTTTTGATATTTCCAGATGACGGCTTCTCGTTGTTCGCCTTCCACGGTAAACTGAATGAAGAAATGGACGGACTTGAGGCCGGCCAATGGGCCAGGGACATCACCAAGGCGAAGGAAGGCCGCTGGACCTTCAGGGACAGGAACGCCAAGCTCAACATCGGCGACAAGATATATTTCTGGACGTACGTTATCAAAGACGGCCTTGGTTACAGACAGGATGATGGAGAGTGGACTGTTACTGGTAAGACAAATATCATCATCCCCCACTGCTGGAGCACAGGCCTTCCCTATCCCCTACAGATGGAATAGGGAGATTAGGCCATGACCCACCATGCTGGCCCAGTGCGGACTGGTGGGTGCTAACGACTGCAGATGCAGCCGGGATCAATGGCTTAATGTGCCTCCATAAGCGCGGAGGAGCTCGACAAAGTAAAGTTTTGGTCGTCTACCGACCACTGCGAAAGTGGTTTAACTACAAAGATTGTAACCGAACGCGCTTATCATTTGCACCCTCGAGCTCCTCTAGTCAAATATTATGAAACTGCAAACCACATTTTTGGATGGTGGAACCATATACTTTGTTGATTTTATATTATTAGTAGTAATTGTAAGCAGTAGCATGTAGTGCAGATGCTTGCAGCAGAACTGTGCCAGACTTCCCTGACGCCTATCTATGCTGAAATCTGACAGGTGAAACATGGTGGCACTGAAAGAACAACCCGTAGTATCTTGTGCTTTGAAGGTCCTGGGTTCGAATCCCGGTAGGGGATTTTATCTGTATCATGAGCACACATACTTGTTCCTCGATCATTATTTATATTATTGCTTTACCGCCTTATTAATGCACGAAAAATAAGCTAAGACTACTTACGCCGTCTTTTGTTCATATCACTCAAATGCCATTTGTCATACAATGAACAGAGACAAAACATAGAGTAACTAATCCAAGCTTATTCTTCGTTTATAAATAAGAAGGTCATAGTTTATGAATAGGACAGTAAGTTAGTTCGCAATTCAAATATCTCTCACTGAAATTTACTTACATGATTCATAGCTAACTAACTCTTTCCAGGATATGTAAACGAAGATGGTACTCCGGCGGATCCAAGCAAAATCCCGCCTGTGACATCCAAGCCACCGGGCGGACAAAAACCACCAGTCACGCCAGTCACCGTGACCAGCAGACCGCCGACGCCCCCGACTCCGGCCTGCCAGACCTCGCAGACGGTCGTCCAAGGACGCAACTCGGTCTGCAAGGGCGATTTGCTTTTCAGTGAGGAATTCGAGAAGAACTCGCTGAACGATCTGACAAATTGGGACGCCGAGATCAGATTTCCTGAGCAACCGGTGAGTGCAAGATTTTTATAATTACCAAATTTTAGCGACACTTGTTTAACTGTCCAGAAACGATGGCTAAGCTATGAACGCAGTAACAGTTTTCACGCACGGCAAGGAGATTTACGTTAGAATTCTTAAATGAAACATTTCAGATGTTTTCATCATACGGGTCGTCTTTACCATATTCAGTTCTTGAAGTATCACACCTTTCGTGATGTGTCAAACCCTTTGAGGAATTTTGACTTGATTTATTTTTTCAAGGACTACCCTTTCAACGTGTATGTGACGGACGGAACCATCAAACTAGAAAATGGCAATCTTAAGGTTATTCCCTTACTTCTTGATGAGCAGAAACACGAAGGCAGCGTCAATGAAAACTTGGATCTTAGTAGCAGGTAATAGGATCAATACATTTTTATCATATTAGCGTAGAAATGATTATTATTTAAAGTAATCTGCTGAATCGCAGGCTTTCCCCATGAATACAATCACATAAAAAGAACGGCCCCTAACACAAGTCCAACGTAGCTGATAACGAACTGCTTTAATAAATATAAATAGCTTTTTGTGAACCATTTAATAAATAGCGTTTTCAAAAGCCTTCTAGCGCAGCGGAATTCAAGCATTAACAAGGAATTGTGCCCTTCTACAATATAATCTCCACCTTGCCAAACTATAATACTCTTGTCACGAAAGAATTTTGGCAGGAGAATTTGTTATGAGGAACGTTAAGCCGTTGGTCCCAGCTGCATCTGCAATATTAAGAACCAATCCACACTGACGCCAATATCCCCATTGTAACCATATTGAATACAGGTGTCCAGCACTGGGTTCATTAACAGAATTATAATGATGAATGTGAATCGTGACGTAGTTAATTAAGCAATGCATGTATGATGAAATGTAATGAAATTATAGTAGAAATTAACAGAAGTAGCAACATTTACATAAAATCATGCCGCAGGCAATACTTATACAAATAATCATGTAAATTTATTAAGTGTTAAATAATTACATGGGAATTTTATGGCATAACTTTGCTTACTTCAATCAACAAGTCCGGAGGAATCTTCTTTGTTCCAAGACAGTTCGATCACTTAAGTAATCTTGGACTCTGTGATATCCTTTGCTAATATTTTTTTTGTGAAACCGAGATCTTAATGTCCTCTAGATGCACGGGTCAGCTTGACACGACTGAGTGTAGTCGTCACGCGTCCGGTGCACAGATTTTACCCCCCATCATGACCGGCAAGATCACAACGAAGAACAAGTTCAATTTCAAGTTCGGCAGAGTTGAAATTAGAGCGAAACTCCCAAACGGCGACTGGCTTATACCTGGTGAGTACTTAGAAATAATTAAAAACAATAAGGGATCGTCTTTTGATCGTGTGAGGCTCGAAAAGAAAGAAGAGGGTTCAGAGAGAAGCTCGAAGCTCGAGATATCAAAATTCACAAGGCGGGAGGGTGTCTAGTGAGATATAAAAAGATATTACATTTGTATAAATTTCATAGTTGAACTCGCGTTTTCTTAACCGAGAAGCTACGCATGATCACGACTCTTGATGTTAGGTATTCCGAAATCGTGTAAGATATTTTTTTATAAAAAAAAAGCACGTGTTATTGGGTAGGGGAGGTACGGTTGCCATTCTTAACTCTCATAACCACCGATACGTTGCTCACAACGCATAACCAGAGGAAAGGAGGGAGGTTGGAAATATTGCTAATAAATTACTAGTTCCTCTCTAAAACCCAGCAGTGCGATACTACGCTCAAAATTTTAAAATTGTCTTGCCCCTTTTCAGAACTAAACTTAGAACCAAAGGACTACGTATACGGTTCGCGACGCTACGAATCCGGTCTCATAAGGGTCGCGTTCGCGCGAGGGAACCCCTCAGAATCTAAGACCTTATGTGGAGGACCGTTGTTGACCGACTCCGAGCCGTACCGGTCCTACCTGATGAAACAGAAGATTGGCATCAACAATTGGAACAATGACTTCCACAACTACACTCTCATCTGGAAACCGGGTAATTTAATCTTTAAATTTCTCAAGACGGTAAGAATTTCTCAATAGACATTGGGCAAAAATGTATGGACGCTGCACCCACGTCCGCCACGCCTTAAACTACATTTGTTTGAAAGGTATTATAGTCATGATTATATGTGACAAAGCGCATCAATCAATCATCATTCCATCCCGGGGGTCTTTAGTTATTTTTGGTTAAATAAGTACAAGTTAATACATACCTATAACGAAAGAACATTAATAAAATAAGGGAATTAATTTAGTTAGTTCGACTACATAGAGGGCTCAGGTATTATGGGAGTACTCCACAAGGTGCAAGGGTGCCTTGTGTCATTCTGCCGCGTTAGAGTAAATCCAAAAATCCCCGCATGGGTTGGGGTTTTTTCAAACAGTCTGTTCGTAATAGTAAATTCTCTTCTATATAAAACGGAACGACCACAAATCACACAAACTTGTCCACTCTTCGAAGAAAACGTGATTTCAGTTCATCCATACTAATTGACAAAACCGATAATCATGTTCCAATGTCCGAAATGTGTTAGATAAAAATCAATCAAGTGACCGGGAGCGCACAATCACAACGAAGTAAGACGAGTCGACAATTTGCAACTGCAAGTCCTTCAATCCCCGTAAACCGTTTTGAGGTGGTTCAGTAAGAGCAAGCGCAGGATGGTCGGCAGGCTTTGTCATCTATATCTGGTTGTATAATATGATATGGCATATTATTATGGTTACTAATAATATAAAATGAAGGCACTATAAAGTGAATTTATTTAGCTACTTAAATTTTAAATGAATTCACTTTACATGGGCATATTTAATATGCCCATTTGTCATATCTTTTGACTGCCAGGATACTTTTTTACGGTGTCATAATAAAAAGGCTAGTTTTGCATAGATCTATCGATTACATTACTATACTAATTACATTGTTGGCGGAGCTGGGTGCGTTTTGCCCATTGTCCTTTTAGTGTCAAAATTGATTAGTCACTAGAATTTTAGAATGAAAAATGGATCAAGGACTACCACAACTACACAATTATCTGTAAAACGGTTAATTTTATACAGTAAAAGCTCCTTATTCACGCATCCTTTATTCGCGTTTACACTATTCGCGGTTCAAAAAATTGTGACCCAATCCTGTATTCCCGTCTAAAAATTTCATTATTCGCGGATGTAATCGGTGTGCATATACATATTTTAATGTTGAAGACAATAAAATTATGGAAAGAACTCTACTTCACGGTGTTCCCTTAGTACTATAACAAGTTCCTCATCAAGAGAGGCTTAAATAGAGTGTTTCAAGAAAGGTAACACCTAGCACAAACCACTATTGAATTCGAATAGTTTGCGAATGCGAAATGTCAATGTCAAATTTTGCATGGAAACTTGAACAGCAGCGCACAACAGACGTAACGAGAACTAAAAATCAGTACACATTTGACAATGACATTTCGCATTCGAATTCGTTTTTGGTTTCGGGCTTAGGGTACGGAATGGCTGTGTCACTGGCATTGCTAATATCCTTAGCAGTAACATGTGGCCCGTCTGCTTGTCTACCTTCGAAAGCAATAAAAAAATTATTGGCAGAACTGAACTCAGACACGTTGAAATCATGCTGTAAAAAACTGTGGCCTGTTCTGGCTGCGGACAATCGGTGCAAATTTAAACTTTAACTTGTAACGTAAAATTTAAATTGGGAAATCTAAGTGAAACTTTGATGAGGTTTGTGAGTAGTTTCATGTAAATTGACCCGTCCATAGAACAAAATATTGAAATGAAATGAAATATCATTTATTCAGTCTAGCCTGTTACAAGCACTTGTGAAGGTCAAGAAGCTACGCCATCGGTTCGCAAAACTACGGCGGAAGACCTTGTACTGAGAAGAACTGGCAAGAAACTCAGCAAGGGCTGTTTTTTTCTCCCTGTATTGTTATATACAGAGCCGTCAAGTTGAAAAATGATTTCAGACATACGCCTGAAGTCACCTTCCACTACATCATTTAGAATATAAATATATAGTTACAATAAATAATAAGAAACACTATTTCCATGCATTACGATCATTTAGATAATCATCAACTTTATAATAGTCCTTATTCATAAGAGTATTTTTGATTTGAGATTTAAATTTAGTCAGTGGAAGCACAGTCAGATCTAGGGGATCTTTATTAAACAAAGCAATACTACAAACCAGAAATGAACCTCTTGATTTTTGGAGTCTGAAACATGGAACGTCAAGCTTGTTCTTAAATCTCGTGTTAAAGTTATGGGTTTGACTTTTTTTTTTGCAAATGCATCATAATTTTTGGAACGAAGTTCCTTACGGCAGGCTTGGATGGGATAGGGATTTTGCTGCGCGACCGAACTGAAAAAAATATGATAGTAAAACCGTAAGAAAAAATCCGTGGAAAAAAGTGCGTAGAATAAAACCGTTAAATGAGACATGCGCAGGCGCGACAGTCGCATAGAACGAAGTTCCTTACGGCAGGCTTGGAGGGGATAGGGATTTTGCAGCGCGACCGAACTGAAAAAAATGTGATAGTAAAACCGTAAGAAAAAATCCCTGGAAAAAAGTGCGTGGAATAAAACCGTGAAATGAGACGTGCGCAGGCGCGACAGTCGCATACACAAGCGAGTTTGCAATTTGTGTCGATTCTACATTAGCCAAAGGAACTTCGTTCCTACCTGGTGTCCCACGACATCACATCATTTTTTCTGACATATATTAAATTTTCATAAATGTATTGCGACGCCAGTGTTAAAATATTAATTTATTTAAATTTTTCTCTAAGGGATTGTCTTGCCTTTAAATTGTATATGCCGCGAACAGCATACATCTTTTGTATCACTTTCGGCCAGATGTGATTGCGACCTTTTTTGAGAGCGGGATCTGCGCCTGCGGACGCACCCATATAAAAAACGTCTACAAATGTTGGACCCCCAAAATAATTAACCCCCGGCAATTATTTTAAAATATAAAGAAAATTGCAAATAAAATACTGCACACGATATCTCTTATAATTATTGTTTGTTCAGAAAAAAAATGAGTTCTACAATGGCATATTTTGAAAAAAGAAAACAAGTTTTATTGTCCAATCAATATAGTCTTCCCTATTAGGCTTCCACGTTGGTTTCGGAATCCTAAATAAGTAATAGTATTATCAAATGTATATTTGCAGACGGTCTGGAGTTACTTGTGGACGGCGAATCATACGGGGTGGTGAGCCCCGGCGCCGGATTTTCTGCCAGCGCCCGCGAGCACCTCGTGCCGCACGCGCCGCTCTGGAACAAAGGCACTGTCATGGCACCGCTCGACGAACTGGTACGATATGAAACCACACCGCAACCCACCATAAGGCATTCAATCTTATACACGATTTGCAGGTGCCGATGGAACTGGTACATTGGTACACCACACCACACCACGAGGCATTCCATCATATACACTATACCATGAGGCATTCAATTATATACACTACGCCACACTGCACTATGAGGCACTCAATCATATATACTACATCACTCCACACCGCATCACACGGCATTCAATTATATACACGGTCTGCAGTTGTCGACAGTACTAGTACAATACTACACCACACCTCAAAACGAGGCATTCAATCATATACACGGTCTGCAGATGTCGATGGATCTAGTACAATACTATACCAGACTACACCACGAGGCAATCAATGATATACACGGTCATCAGATGTCGATGCTCTGGTAAAATACTAAACCACACCACACCACGGAGCATTCAATCAAATACACGGTATGCAGGTGTCGATGGGTCTCGTATAATACTATACCACACCATACCACGAAGCAAGCAATCGTATACACGGTATGCAGGGTTCGATGGGTCTCGTACAATACTAAACCACACCACGAGGCATTCAATCAAATACACGGTCTGCAGGTGTCGATGGATCTCGTACAATATTATACCACACCACACCACAACACAACACGACACATTCAATTATATACACGGTCTGCAGGTGTCGATGGAACTGGTACATTACTACATGACACCACACCCCGAGGCATTCAATCATATACACGGTCCGCAGTCTACAGGTGTCGATGAAACTGGTATGATACTACATCACACCACATCAAACCACGAGACGTTCAATCTTTATATATTTTTTTATGAAAAAAGGGTAAAAGCAAGCCTTTTCGCTTTATGGTAAGTATTTATCAATCGCGCCGTTGCTTACTCTGACCTAATCCGCTACCCCGAGGAGTCCAGGAACCTTATTCATTGTCAGAAACAACACCGCCAAAAGGCAGTGTTATTTCACTTCGACGACTAGTAAGGTGGAGGTTACATCCTATATAAAAACTAAAGATTTCATTAGAACATAATACAATATTGCCTAGACCGAAATTCTGGCTATATTTATCAACGAATATCTTGAGAAAGTTTTAGTCCTTTTGTCAAAAACCTAAATGGATATCTAAGCTCGTTTCGAAAAGAACTGAGCTTAGACGTCCTTTATCCTTTAGAGTATCCCGTAATCCTTACCGTAATACCGATAAGCTGAGCTATAATAAGACACACTTTCTTACTAGTATATGGATGGCATAATCGAGATGTCATTATATTATTTCATGATAATATTATGTTGAAAAATATTTACCAAGTTATTGAAAAAAACGCAAATTCAATGATACAATATTAACCCATTCCTAAGTCATTAATACAACTATCAATAAAAATAATGAATTATGAAATTTCAGACCACTTTATTTTGGTATTCAGACGTTAGGTGATTCAAAAATGATTTGTAAAAAGTTCCATAAGTGTCGAATTGTGCATCAAACATGTCACTGCAGAAGTTTAACATCTCGGAGAGGAGCACCTTGGGGAAGTACTTGACCTTACAAAGGACCACAGTCAAATAACGCAACCTTTTGGCGATAACGTTTTTCTATCGATAAGGTTCCAGAAACTCAAGGTCAGGTTTTCTTTTTTGGTAAATAAATGGTCATTGAACACCACCTTGTTAAGTCGATGCTTTTAGACTACATCGACGTTAACAGGGTATATTTAACGGTCATAATTATGTGTTACTAGCGGCCCGCCCTCGCTTCGCTTCGGTGTAGAGCTGAAGTGTAGACTACAGTTTTTGTTCTCAGGCTTGTGTTATACACAATGACATTCATCATGATTCTTCTTATACCTGCATGCAAAGTCTCAGCCCGATCGGTTTAAAATTAACAGTTTCATACAAACTTTCATTCCCTTTTTTATCCCCTTGGGGGTAGAATAGATCAAAATCCTTTCTTAACGGGTGCCTACGTCAGAACATCTACCTGCATGGCAAATTTCAGCCCGATCCGTCCAGTGGTTTGGGCTGTGCGTTGATAGATCACTATGTCAATGAGTCACCTTTGAGTTTTATATATGTTTTATTTATTATCAAGGTTAAGTCAGGTTAGTGTTGTCCATGGTCACTCATGGTTGTGCGTGCCGTGGCAACAAGAAAACTTCGTTAGATTTTTTCAACAATAAATTGTGAAATGTCCGAGTAATTCTGGGTCCAAAAACAGTACCCTTAGCACGAACCAAAATCGAATTCGAATAGTATGCGAGTCCAAAATGTTATTGTCAAATTTTGTATGGAAACTGCAGCGCCAAAACGGACGTAACGAGAACTAAAAATACGAGTACGAATTGCCATTGTCAAATGTGTACTGACACATACTCGAAAACGTTATGAATTCGATATTGGTTCGTGATAAGAGTACAGTTTTGTCACTGTTTATATACATTTCTTTAAATATACTTATTGTCGTATGTATTTCTATCTGTCACCCTAGTATCTCCATTACACAAGCCTTAAAGGCTTACAGGACTGGGCCACCAACTTTGGTGTTTGGTTTTAGACGATGAGACAAGATGGGATGATGATATTCGTAGGCTGGCTGGAGTGGGCTTGATGAGAGTAGCACAAAATCGGGAGCAGTGGCGTGCATAAAGGGAGACCTATGTCCAGCAGTGGACGAACATAGTTTTTAGATGTATTTATTAATTATTATTATTTTTCAACAGTTCCACGTGTCGCTCGGCTTACGCGTCGGCGGCGTGCATGACTTCCCTGATAGCGCTGAGAAACCCTGGAAGAACAGGAGCAGTAAGGCGATGCTCAGCTTCTGGACCGCACGGGACAGCTGGCAGCCTACCTGGTACAACGCAGCCCTGCAAGTGGACCACGTCAGGGTCTACGCCCTATGATCGATCTAACTGTGATTCTCTTTTTTATCCGCAATAAATTATGTTATAAGCTTTTTTTTTTATTTTATTTTAGAACTTTTATTCCCTTTAACTGTCTCTGTCAATTATGTTATCATCAATGCCTTTCTCATAATTCCAATTACAATTAATAGTCGAGTCAATGAAGCTTTTTACCTGGAAACCCGGTGGAACAGCTTCGATTTTGATGATTTTTTTTAATAATTTTGTTTTTTTATATTATTTGAAATCAGAAACCTCTGGAGAGGGGGAAATAATTTTTTATATTGTTTAAACAATTTTGATGACATTTTTGGAAAAAAATGTTTTTTTATAAAATATCAATTGAAAACTCACAAAAAAATATGTTTTTATGTTATTGTTTTCATATTGTTATCACTAATAATTTTAATTTACATGTTATTATATCAAAAACTTTTAAAAACAATTAATTTTAAGATCTTTCATCTTATATAATGACATGACGCTGATATACATAAAAAAGTTAGGATATATTTCATGAAATATAAGAAATTAATAGTTTCATTATTAACATAAATAAAAAAATATTAAGAAAAAAAATATATGATACATATATATATATATATATTGGGTCAGAGGCCGCGCTCTCAAGGATCCCGAGGTCGATTCACTCAAAGCAGCCTACAATTTTGCTTCTAAGGCCTGTAAGAAGGCTTACATCAGAGCGGATGCCCAGCGCGTTGCACGTATTGGCCAGGAACTTATAACGCATCCTACGGTCCCGTAGCTACTGGCGTTTGGCCAAGGCCGTGCAAAAAACCTTCTGCCAGCCCTCGCTGCCACCTCTGAGATGCCCAGACGGAACACTAGCTCATAAGCCGCAGGAGAAAGCCGATTTACTGGCAAAACTCTTTGCGGCTAACTCCCGAATCGATAATTGCAATGCACTATCACCATCATTACCTCACTGTGGCACAACGATGCCTGATATAAAAATCAGGCAGTGTGAGGTTGAGAGATGCTTACGTGCAACCGGTGCCCAAAAAAGGGGATCGCTCAGACCCGGCAAACTATCGACCAATAGCAGTCATCTCAGTTTTATATAAAGTTCTAGAAAAGCTCCTTAATAACCATCTGACCCGTCATCTTATTTTATATTTATTTTATTTATTTATCATCTTTAGGGCACAACACTACCGCTACAGAGCAACATTTCCATGCTCGGTATGGAAGTTCGCTCAGACCTGAATCCATCCAACTACATCGAAACCGTGATCAAAACAGCTTCACGCAAACTCGGAGTCCTGAAGAAGGTGCGGCGTTCTTTCACTTTTCACGCCTGATCAACTGTGCTTGTTGTACAAAACGCAAGTGCGGTCCCGCGTGGAATATTGCTTGCACCTCTGGGATAGCTCCGCCAAGTACTTGCTCGATGCTTTGGATAGGTTACAGCGGCGCGGGATCCGCATCATAGGCGATGAGGAGGTGACTAAACACCTTGAGCCGTGACGTGGCGTCACTAAGCGCGTTCTATCGTCTGTACCACGGCGAGTGTTCTGAGGAGTTATTCTCTCTTATCCCACCTTCCCCTTTCCTTCAGAGGACCACGCGCGCTGGCCTACGTTGTCACCGTCTTACTGTGGCCACAATTTCAACGCGTACAAAGAAATTTGGTGACTCATTTCTTTGTCGCACTATCCGTACATGGAATGCTCTGCCCGCTCACGTGTTCCCTCCCTCTTACAACCTGGGATCCTTTAAAAGTGGCGTGAAGAAGCAACATGCAGGCCGGCAGGGTGAGGATGGCTGGTGTGGCAGGTAGAACTGCTGTATTAGCTATCTTCGCGTCTGGACTTCACCTTCACTTAACATCAGGTGGGATGGAGTCTATCTATAAAATATATGTATATATATATGAAGTAATTAAAATATAACGTAAGTGCTCAACGCATTCGTATTATGGACCAATACATCGTATTTTAATGGTTTAAATATTAAATTATTATTAAAAGCCTCATTTTAACAACTATTTTTTATACTAACATTAACATAATAATATTTTTTTCAAAAAAAAACGATAAACTGATTTTTTTATAAAAATGTCATAAATATTGTTTAAACAATAAAAAAAAATATTTCCCCCCTTCCAAAGGTTTCTGATTTTGAATAATATAAAAAAACCAAATTTTCAAAAAAAAATTATCATAATCGAAGCAAGAAAAAATTATTCCACAGGGTTTCCAAGTTTTGCCTGTTTTATGTCTCTATTGACTCGACTAAAGGTAGAGCAAAAACCTAACAAAGCCATTTTTGAAAACTTCTTTAGTATCGTTGTGACTTGAGATTCGATGTAACGAAAAAAGACAGTATTTGACACGAGGTATCCGTAATTTTATAACAGAAACGGATGGCCGAACGAAATTGGTCTTTGGGGTCGATACCAAAAGATCGGCGATTCGATCCTGCTCGTACAATGTTTCTTTACTAACGCTTTTATAATTTTTTGGGACAATATTACCATTCTTACTACCAGTACCTGCATACCATTTGGACCACCACATAACGTGTATATTGCTGTTACTAATAAAAGACTCTGGGGAAGAGAAGAGTATTATTATAAACTTTATTCTTGGATCTACATTACATACCAGGCCACTTAGAAAGTTTTGCGAAACAAACTTTTTATGTATAAGACACTGGCCACGTGTAATTATTTTGAAAACATCGATTATTTAAAAGCAAAAATACCACTGTTCAATTTTAAAATTTTCCTCCGCATTTTTTCGAGAGCCAATTTAATTTTTCTTTTCTCATTAAGAAATGGATCTGCATCGAGAACATTTTCGTGCTATGATTTTTTACGATTTTAAATATGACTTAAAACCTGATGAGTCATTTGATCGATTTCGAACTGATGTTATAGATGAAGGACCTTCAAAAGCAACCATCTACCGCTGGTGTAGCGAGTTCAAACGCAGTCGTGTTACGTTAGGGGATGAACAAAGGAGTGGTCGTGCTACAACGGCTGTCACCGAAAAAAGTGAGCTGGAAGTAAAAAAATAATTCAAGTAAACAGACGAATTACGTACGAAGAGATTCAGCATACTCTGCAAATTGGTTCAGGAAGTTTTCACAAGATTTTGCACGAGCACGTTTGCGTAAGGAGGATAGTTTCCCGCTGGGTGCCGCACAACCTCACCGAAGCTCAGAAGCAGGCCAGTGTGGATTGGTGCAGTGATATGATACAAAAATTTGATGCAGGCTCGTCACAGCGCGTTTACGATATTGTGACAGGTGACCAATCCTGGATTTATCAATACGATCCAGAAACAAAGCGTCAGTCGACTGTTTGCCTGTTTTAATACGAAAGTGAAGCGATCGAGGAGCGCAAGGAAAATTTTGATCGCTAGTTTCTTCACTTTGACGGGTACCTAATTTCAATTCCACTTCGAGACCAAAGCAGCATCAACACCAAATGGTTTGGCACAAAATGCCTGCCAGAAGTTGTTTCTGCAACGGGTGGTCCTTCTTCACCAAGAAAATCGCAGAGTGTGCACTCTCTTCGAATAAATCTGTATGCTTCTGATAAAATAGGAAAACATAATTGCGAGTGAAAAATTTATGTCTGTGCGCTAATAAGGTACGTCTTTATAAAACCTATCTTTAAATTCGTAATTCGAATATTTCGACATTAGTGTAGATAAAATCCATTATTTCACTTTACAAATAATTATGTACCGTTTACCATTTTTCCCTGTAATATATGTTGTATATGCAATTTCCTCATGCATATGCTAGTAACCAATATTTATGTAATAACTTGGAAACTTAATATTTTTGGATATTAATAAATATAATATATAAATATTTCCAACACTCACACCAATTAGCCTAGCCCCAAAGTAAGCAATGTAAGGCTTGTGTTATGGGATACTAGGGTAACGGATAGAATACTGTACATGTAGGTATATAAGTATATTTATATAGAAAATACATATTAAACATCCATGACTGGAGTACAAATGCTCGTATTCATCACACAAACATCTCCCCCACCGGGAATTGAACCCGGGACCTCTCGAGTCGGTGACACCATGAAATCCGGCGTACAAACCACACTATGGAGGTCGTCGAAATTAAAATATTGCACATATTATATTAATTTGCATAATAATTTTATTTCATTTCTTGAAACGTGAAGACCCGCTAGTATAACACATACCACATTACAGACAGACTTATTACACCACATTTGTGGATTTGATTTCTACTATGCTATGGTTTTCCCCTTAAATTATTTAGTTTCACTACACGCTACTCCCTCCCCCACAAGGTGGGCGCTAACTAAGCATAGACGAAATTGAATAGCATAGCGAAAATTAGCGAACAGTGGTGACCTAGGACATTATTGTAGCATAGACGTGTCCAGACGTAAAGTATCTAGACGTGTATATAATCAAAGGGTGTCATTAAGGTAATGTGAGTGAAAAAATATAGTTAACATAACAAGAAAATTATTTGGGCTATCCATAGGCAGAGAGACTTGCCTCTGCGATCAAAAAGGAGAGATAGTGATGGTGCTGTCAATACATAATATGTGAACCATAGCCGCACAATCCTTTCTCTCACACTTATCCACATTCTCCATGACTGTGGACTGACAATAGTCTGACTTGCGTTGCTTAGAAAAAAATCACTTATTGATTTGTCATAGTGTTGCCGAACTATCGATATTAAAACTATCGACAGTTTACATCGAAAATCATATACCCTATCGATAGGCCTATCGATAGAATCGATACTACCGATAGTATCGATAGCTCAGAACAAGGCAATACTATCGGATGAGTGCAATACTATCGATACTATTGTACTTCGTTAATAACAAACTATTGATAGTATCGATACTATCGATAGTGTTGATTTTATCTGCAACAATACTATCGATAGTATCGACACTAGCAATTGTTCTAGACTAAAGTTTGTGATTGACTATAATACCTGAAAATTGTAAACAATACTATTGCAAATTGTTAAACTATCGATAGTATGGTTGCAAATAAAATCGACAGT